TGCCATTGCCTTCCTCTGAAGCTGAGAGAGTGTGACTAGGCCAAGGTCACCCAGTGGGTTTGCAGAGCAGGACAGAGATTTGAACCCAGGTTCCTAAACACAAACCCCTACGCCACACTAACTCCATCCATAATGACTATTCCCTCAAAAGTATTTTACAAAACTGTGCCGCGCCAGTTAAAGCGCTGTCAACTCGGATTATTCCGCAGTGCGGATGCAGGCGAAGGAAGCCCCTCCCCAGAGACCTGTTTCTGGACGTCTGCATCGCTGAGCGCCATCCTGAGGGAGGAAGGCAGGAGGAGAAAGAGGCCCGGAGAGAACGAGGAGAAGCGTCTGGACACAGCAGCTCCTTCGGGCGCTTGAGGGCGAATGGAAGCAAATCCGGTTCGGGTCACTCGCAACAATTACAGCTGCTTCCTGTTTGCGTCATCACAAGTCCCCGCCCCCTCGTCGCCTGACGTTAGCCAATAGGAGGCAGGCTATGCCTATGACGTTACGCGTAGGCGGTGCCTGCGGCTTGACGTATCTGAGTCCCCGACGCAGAGACATAGAGTTATGAAAGAAAGAGAAAAAGGAAGAGGCGACTCTCATTGGTCGTTAGGTTTTTTTTATGAGAGTTTCCGGGTTACTGTTGAACCATTCGATGGCCTAGAATTCAAAGACATATAGCCGTGTTATTAGTGTGTAGAATCATTTTACAGAGAGATCTTGTAGCGCCTTTGAGACCAAGGCTCAAAACACACTGCAGAAATAACCCAGTTTGAGACCAGTTTAACTGCCCTGGCTCGGTGCTAAGGAATTCTAAGAACTGTACTTTTGTGAGACATTTAGAGCCTTCTCTGTCAGAAAAAGCTCTAGTGCCACAATAAACTACAATTCCCAGGATTCCCTAGAACTGAGCCAGGGCAGTTAGAGCGGTCTGAAACTGGATTATTCCTTTTAGACCCGAGACTGAAGGCCTCGCATATTCTTTCCTATCTCTATGGCGAACGTTCACCTGGGCGCTTCTCAATGAATCATCACTCAATAAACCTGTGGGGATGACGTCATGACGCTGGCGCGTGCGTGCGTGCGTGCGTGCGCCCGGCCTTCCAATGCCCTCTTGTGCCCTCCTCCATCATGGCGGCAGTCAAGGCTTTCATTTAGGGCTGTGAGCGGAGGCGCCGCGCGTGCAGAAGCCGTTGGGAGCGTCGCGCGCCCTCTCGCTTTGGCCTCCCTCCTCTTCATTCACTCAGGTAAACAGAACAGAACGCACTCTCCCCCCCCCATTGTTGTTGTTGTTGTTGTGTGCCTTTTTCTCCTCTTTTACTTCTGGAGACCCCTAAGGCCACAGGGTTTTCTTGTTGGCAAGATTTGTTCTTGAGAGGGAAGGTTGCCCTTTCCTTCCCCTGAGGCTGAGAGAGTGTGACTTGCCCAAGATCACCCAGTGGTTTTCTATGGTTGAGCTGGGATTCGAACCCAGGTCTCCAGAGTTATTCAGTCCAACGCTCAAACTACTGCACTGGCTCTCCGTGTGTGTGTGTGTGTATAATATGTATACACGTATAAAATTCACATAGTTTATTTATTTATAGCTATGTTACCTATATTGTATTTTATTATTATGTTGTTGTGTGCCTTCAAGTCGTTTTTGACTTATGGCAACCCTATCATAGGGTTTTCTTGGTAAGATTTGTTCAAAGGGTTCCCCCCCCATTGTCATCCTCTGAGGCTGAGAGAGTGTGACTTGCCCAAGGTCACCCAATAGGTTTAATGGCCGAGTGGGGAATTGAACCCTGGTCTCCACAGTCATAGACCAACACTCAAACCACTACACTGGCTCACCGTGTGTGTGTTTGTGTGTGTGTGTGTGTGTGTGTGTGTATATATATATATATATATATATATATATGTATATATATGTGTGTATTCATTTCACATTCTCTATAGCTATGTTACCTCTATTGTATTTTATTATTGTATTGTCGTATATAGTGATTATTATTATTATTATTATTATTATTATGTTGTTGTTGTTGTTGTTGTTGTTGTTGTTGTGTGCCTTCAAGTCATTTTTTACTTACGACAACCCTATCATAGGGTTTTCTTGGCAAGATTTGTTCAGAGGCGAGGTTCGCCGTTGTCATCCTCTGTGGTTGAGAGAGTGTTACTAAAATTAGGAGGTGTTGGCTGTTGTTGTGTGCCTTCAAGTCATTTTTGACTTGTGGTGACCTTAAAGTGGCCTATCACAGAGGTTTCTTGTCAGTGTTTGTTCAGAGGAGGGTTGGCCATTCTCTGAAGCTGAGAGAGTGTGACTTGCTGAGGGTCAGCTGGTAAATCCCTCTCTTCACACTCATCCAGACCCCTTCTTCCTTGTTCTTTGTCTAGCTGGATGTTTGTTGTTTTTTTAGCAGCATCAGCATTGGGAGAGGAGTGAAGGAGGGCTGGAGAATGGAAGTCATTACAAAAATGGAAGCTGGGTGGAAAATAAGTCATCTGTAGTTCTTAAAAAGTCTGTACAAGGTTCAAATCTATAGGTGTTGGGTTTTTTAAGAACTTATTTATGCATTATGTATTTACCTATTTATGCAAGGCTTCCCTGCTGTGGTTGTTTCATTTCACATGTGCATATTGTTAGTTTTGAATCAGAAGTTTGCTGAAATGTGTTGAACTGCTCTTCCATCTTGTGGTGTAGGAACCCATGCCTATTCATTCCACATTATTTCTATTTCTGGTTCCAAATTTTCTGCTAAAGGAGTAATGCAAAGGAACACATCTGCTTGGTTGACTGAAGGCCTTTGCAGACTGCCAGAAATAGTGCACATTAAATTGAGGCACTGCCCTGGCTCAGTGCTAGGGAGTCATGGGAATTGTATTTTTTTCTGAGACATTGAGCCTTCTCTGTCAGAGAGCTCTGGTGCCACAATAAACTACAGTTCCCATGATTCCCTAGCACTGAGCCTGGGCAGTGCCTCAATTTAATGTGCACTATTTCTGGCAGTCTGCAAAGGCCCTGAGATATACCTGTACCGAGAATGAGTGGGCTTTTAGGCTGAAGCTGAAACTTTGGTTTTGACTTATGGCAACCCTAAGGTGAACCCATCATAGGGTTTTCTTGGCAAGATTTGTTCAGAGGGTTCCCCCCCATTGTCTTCCTCTGAGGCTGAGAGAGTGTGACTTGCCTAAGGCCACCCAGTGGGTTTCCATGGTTGACCAGGGATTCGAACCCTGGTCTCCAGAGCTGTAGTCTAGTGCCCAAACCACTATACTACACTGCTCCTCCACTGTTGCTGGTGTTATTATTTTGAAGAAAGGGGAGTTAAATTTATTTTAGACGTACCACATCTGAGTCTAGAGTCTGTGTAACCCTGCTTTTTCATCCTTTGCCCAGCAGGTTTCCATCAGAGGTTGTCCCAAGGGGGCTTATCCTTCCTCCATGTGTTTACTACCCCATCTGTCCCTGTCTGGCTTCTCCTGTTCTGTTTAATATGTGTGAGGTGGGACTTTTCCACCGCTGGCAAGTTCAGATGGTTTCTAGATTGAAGGGCAAACTAATCCCCCCACCAGAAAAAAGGTGGGGTGGGCTGAAGAGTGGTTTCTCTGTCCTCCATCTTCCAGTCATTCCTAAATTGGTACTAATATGTTGAATGAATATGCTGGTTGTGGGTTATTCATAGAATCTTTCCTTACAAATAACTGGTAGCATGGCTTGAACATTATACTGTGACTGTGGAGACCATGGTTTGAATCCTGGCTCGGCCATGAAAACCCACTAGAGGACCTTGGGCAAGTCACACTCTCTCAGCCTCAGAGGATGGCAATGGCAACCCCCCCCCCCCTTTAAGAAACTTGCCAAGTAAACCCCATGGCCTTAGGGACGCCATAAGTTGGAAACGACTTTAAGGCACCACAAAACCAACAAATGTGGTTGTCTGAAATGGCAAGGAGGAACAGATTCTTCCTGCTTCTCCTCCTCTTGGTAACAGGACAGGGATTAATATCATGGCATGTCCTGTCGTCTGGCAATTGTCTTCATCCCCCCCAGAGGAGTTTTGCTGGTGGAGATGGGGCTGCCTGTGCTGGTGCTTACGTGCATTTGGGCTGCCTTTTCTTCCCTATAGCACTTCCTTCCTTCCCAATTATACAGTTTACTCAATAGTTGGTAAGCATGGCGGCTCTGTGCATGTGCTCCGGTAATGGAAGGAAAGGGAATATGGAGGCATGATACAGCATGCCCTTTGTCCTCTATCAGACTTGTCCTTGCAAGAGAAGGCCTGTGCAGTCGTTTCTAAACCCTGGGCCTGGTCTGAAAGATGAGTAAAAGCTCTGTAGAATTGCACCAACCATTTACTGGTTTTATGCAATGGGAATCTTGGCTTTAGATCTATACAAGAGTTCTGATGACTGCTTGCAAGACTGCAGACTTTAAGTGGAAGGTTTGCTCAGATGCCCTTTGAAAGCACATCCAGTGGTTCTGTATATTCTTATCAACCAACATTTTCCTTTGTCTACTTATAATTCTTGTTATAGTAACATTTTCAGAGAGTCTTAGAGGTTTGCTAAGCCATACTCAATATGATTTATATATGAAACTTTAAAAGCAACTGATGGAATTATAATTAACTTCTGAAAACATCTTAATTGCTGCTATAAAGAACTTTTTATAACACTGGTACTTTTAATATATGGTATGTTTTAAAAACTACAATAGTATTGTTTTTAACTACAAATGGATTTTTGTGTGTGTTTGTGTTGCTTCATACATGCAAAAAGTAGTTCAAAGTGTGGAAGAGGTTGTGAAACCTTGGTGGCAGATAATTCAGCTAAACCCATTGAATGCTTTATTTGTTTGTGGGAGGTTTTGATGAGCTTTCTAAAGTTAAACTAAAACCACAGCTTGGATAAAGGACTGATGCTGAGCTTTTTAATACTCGCCCCAAAAGCTTTTCCCTTTGAGGACTAATAGAGCAACTTAGAAAAGAATTTCTAAATAGTTGGAAATATTAAAAATTGTTTCCTTTATCTTCATAAGACTTTCCAATATTCAGCTGTGTTAGCTGACATAGATAATATTTTTCATGTTCTGCAGAAGCAGATGGTGACATAAATGAGATTGTTCTGTCAATCAGTTACTACAGTGCTGACATTAAAAATGAATAGCATTTTATAGACTGAGGAATGTACATTTTTGTGGCATTTGGTCTGCAAATAAAGAGCTTAAAATGGAGTTAAGCTTTATCAGAGAATTCGTAGGCAACCCAAAAACTGTTTGACGTGCTGCTTTTGAAACACACATTCTCATTACAGATATATTTCAGTAGATGTGTTCCTTTGCACTATTCCTTTAACAGAAAATTTGGTACCAGAAATAGTATGGAAAGAACAGGTAGGAAGAACAGTTCAACACATTCAGCAAACCTTTGATTCAAAGCTAACAGTATGCACATGTGAAATGAAACAATTATGTCAGGGAAGACTTGCATAAATAAACAAACACATACTGAACCTTGTATAGACCTGTTGAAGGCTTTTTTTAAAAGTACATCCAGGGATGGCATTTTCTTTCCCAGCCTCCAGTTTTGTAATGACTTACATTTTGGTGCCCAGACTTATACATCCATGCTTTTTTTTTTTGTCTCCCATCATAGAATTATAGAATTATAGAGTTGGAAGAGACCACAAGGGCCATCCAGTCCAACCCCCTGCCATGCAGGAACTCCCAATTAAAGCATCCCTGAGAGATGGCCATCCAGTCTTTGCTTAAAGACCTTCAAGGAAGGAGACTCCATGACACTCCGAGGGAGTGTTTTCCACTGTCGAACAGCTCTTACTGTCAGGAAGTTCCTCCTAATGTTGAGGTGGACTCTCTTTTCCTGGAGCTTGCACCCATTGTTCCAGGTCCTAGTCTCTGGAGCAGCAGAAAACAAGCTTGTTCCTTCCTCAATATGACATCCCTTCAAATATTTCCCAAATGCATACACACATGAACATGGATGCAGTGCCACAAGCCACCAATTGCCTCCCTCATCCTGGCTAGCTGCCACCCATTTGACACCCCACACGAGTGGCCGTATAACTGGCCACTCGATCGCACAAGTGATTGATCACCGTATGGTGCACTGGTTTGCCCAGTGACACATTGGCACAGCATGATCATGGTGGCCCCCTGTGCATGCCCTCTTTACCCATGCCCCCCTGTTGGACTGGCCAGTTTGTTAATTTCTTATGAAATTCAATATTTTGTTGGCGACATGCCATGTTTGTTGATGTTTCATTGCTGGGTGTGTGTGATGGGTCAGAAGTGCAGCCCAGCCCTGATTCAAACTAGAGCATTTGATTCTAAATCAGTTCTATATTCAGCTCAACACATGTGTAAATTTGACACATAAAAAAGTTTGGGAGGAGGAGTAATCAAGGCCCCTGTGTCTGGCGCCCTCTTTGAGCAACTGTTGTGCCCTGCTGGGGGTCCCGCCTCACCATTTGAGAATCACCGTCTTAATTGGAAAGAAACAATCCCACCAATTATGCTAGCAGCCTATTGAGATGCTAAGTTTAACTTAACTTTGAAAATACCAATCACTTCAGTAGGGTATCATCAGATGTAAGGCCCCACTGGTATTTTCTCATGAAGATGGCAGCACTCACTAGAGGTAAACATATATTTTGAATCTTTACAACATGCACAGAAATTATCCTTTGCTAATCCTGTGCAGTGGGTCAGCCTTACATACAGCTCTTCAAACTACAGGTATACCTTAGTTAATGAAGTGGCTGTGTTCCTGGACATTGCTTCTTTCGCAGAGAATTTGGTGTCAGAAGCAGAACTAACCTAGGAACACTAAGGGCCAATTTCCAGCTAGTTAGAGGGCAAGAGGGGTTGGACAGGGCATAAAACACTTTGTAAAAAGAAGCTTGTTTGTCAGAAGCTGTGTTAACAGGTGTGCCTGTGTGCAGATCTTGCCAGAGTGAATAAAACATTTTAAAAATCTGTTAACTCATTCCAAGAGGGCAAATATTTCATTGGAACTTGTTTTTCTACATTTCCCATGGGTTCCACTTCTTCCCCACTAAACTGAAATTTTGTCCAGAGATTATGGGGAAAAGGTTTTTTCCTTGACTTTGATCTGATTTTCTCCTAAATCTTTGTACCTCTAGTTAAAAACAAGCTCCAAAAGATTTTCAACTCTTCGTTAGGTTTTTAGGATGCAGGAGTTAGGAAAGTTGATTATTAAGACAGAAGCACAGGGAATTCTGGGAAAGTCCACCTTTGGTTCCTATCCTAAATCACTCAATCACTAAATCACTAAATTCCTATCCTTCACTCAGAAAACAGAACTCTGGCAAGTTCCATTTACATATCTGCTGTAATACTGTACTTTTGTCTGAGAAGTAATATAATAGTGTATGCGGTAAAGAATATAAAGTTTTTTGGCATGAACTGTGTTTCAGTAATGTATCTTAATTCTGAGATAAATTAGAACTGCTTCTTGTTACTATTTTGTGTATGATTCATAGTTGCAATAAATTCTGCAGCAAGGGAGTTGAGAATGGGAAATAGACTGTAAAGGATTCCAAGCATCTTCAACAATATGAGAAGAAGTGAGGTTTTCTGAAGACTTAAACAATGGATATCAGCTCTGTTTACAAAAGTAAATGAATTCTGAAGGCTAAATTGATCGCACCCAGTGTTTAAAACTGATAATGTACAACAACCCATAAAGTTGGTCTTCTGCCAAGGTGCTAATAGCAGAATGACTGTTGGGAAGAAGTTTGGAGGCTAGCTGTAATGGTACAGGATAGAGGGGTGTTAGCCCTTTTTCCTTGTGCTGTGGAAAATACATACTTCCAACATTAGTTTTCATCAGAAAGTAGGATATTAAATAAAAAAATAAAAAACAGAAGACCTAATGATACCAGTACAGTGTATATAATAATAATAATAATAATAATAATAATAATAATAATAA